CATCTACAGAGCGTCCCATTTAAGAAAACTCATTATATAATAATTCAGAAACTAGAACTTGTAAATCATTTTATTATTTTCCATTGAGTACTAACCAGAAAATAGTGGAACGATTGATGTAGTGTTTTTTATTTTTATTATTATTTTGCATGCAGAAAATAATAGGTTTTTCGAGTATTATGTGCGGATTTTTGGGTTCTTGGAGATAATTCAGTATGATATTGGTCGATCTGTTTCTCGCTTGTACCTATTTTGTTTTATTACAATCTGTCCTGGACATTTTTAGATCCATGGCAATGTTTCAAATTAAAAAAACGAAAACAAATAATTATTTCAGTTTTCTAGTTTAAAGAAACCATCCCATTAGTGACGAGACCATTAACTATTAGTGAAGTTGTTTTAGAAGGGTATTGTCAAAACAAAACTTGATTGTACTCGATGTTCAATTAAATTTTTGATTTTTTGTACAGGGTGACCTGTAAAACATGAATATTTTAGAAGTACATTTATTGCTTCTAGATATAAATACATATTAATTAAAGAGTGTATAAAAGGAGAGGAAGTTGAGAAGGTCTTCTCCGGTTCCAGGGTCCGACACAACTGATTTGCGGATTTCATAATCCTCTTTCGGGGATTTCATATCCTCTACAATATCTAAAAAAACTTTGGTAATTCATAAGTATTTAATGATCTTCAAAACTTTACTTTTCATGTGTTAGGTATTTAGATCTTTAAAAGAAGATTCCAAAAATATCTATAAATTTTTTCTTGCAAAAAAATTGACAATCTTATAGATTCAAAACTAAATTACAGGGCGTTCTTTTGTTTTTTTTTCAGAATTCAAAATCTTGTTTTTTTGGGTTTTTTAAAATTGAAAATTTAATAGAAACCCCAATTTTGAAGTTACGTCAAATATAAAATATGTTTTGAAAACAGGGAATCCTAAGGAAAGCGCAGGAAAAGACAGGGCAACATTTAGTTTAAGAAAAAAGGCACTTTAAAAATCTCACCCGGTCAAAATTGACCTTCTCGTCACTAATGGGTTAAAAAGTTTTATGTCCAATCTAAAATAGTAATCTTCCAAATCTTTATTATGGTAATATTAAGAAAGTTATTGTGTTTTTTGCATGTTATGCATTAATATTTGTTCTCTAATGTACTGTGAGGATCCTACAATAAATTGATACTTGTACTGGGAGGATCCTACAAAATATTGATACTTGTACTGGGAGGATCCTGCAGTACAATAATACTTGTACTGGAAGGATCCTACAGTACATCAATACTTGTATTGGGAGGATCCTGCAGTGCAATAATACTTGTACTGGAGATATCCTACAGTATACTAATCCTAGTACTGGGAGGATCCTACAGTACATTAATTTTTGTACTGTAAGGATCCTACAGTACATTAATACTTGTACTGGGAGGATCCTACAGTACATTAATACTTGTACTGGAAGGATCCTACAGTACATCAATACTTGTACTGGGAGGATCCTACAGTACAATAATACTTGTACTGGAGATATCCTACAGTACACGAATCCTAGTACTGGGAGGATCCTGCAGCACATTAATACTTGTACTGGGAGGATCCTACAGTACAATAATACTTGTACTGGAGATATCCTACAGTACACTAATCCTAGTACTGGGAGGATCCTACAGTACATTAATCCTTGTATTGTCATAGTACTCTGAAGATCTAAAGGTACATAATTAAACCTTTCAACCAAGAATATTGTTGTTTACAGTTTCAAGAAATCAATTATTTATTTGAAGTTAATTATCCTGACCCCTTTCCCTCTCATGCAGTCAAAATTAAAGCACACAGGTTGCAAAGTACCGTAAGGTCTATGCCTTGTTCCCCTTACGCCCCCCTAAGTATATAAGCCCAGGTTGGAAAGGGTTAAGGTACATTCCTTTCAAGCGAAGACATGAGGTAACATAGGGTTAAATTTTATTCATTTTACTTCATCTACAGAGCGTCCCATATCATATTAGATTATCTCCAATCTTTAACACCAAAATAAACCCTTAATACTCGAAAAACTTATCATTTTCCGCAAGAAAATTCTTATATAAGCCTTATATTATTTCTCAAAATGATTCATTCTAATTAAATTTTCTAATTAGTCCCGAAAATCGTAATTTAGACCCGTTTTCAGTCTAATATGATGTGGGACACCCTGTAATTCTTATAGAAATTATCTGACCTGCAAAGGACTGAGGACATTATTTCAAGTGACCTTTCATTTATTCAGGGAATCTCCGATGCACAAAGGTACCTTTTAAACCTTTGACTTATGAAGGATGAATGATATATCCTATTTTATCTTGTTGAAAGTGGATATTTATTTCACTTGTTATTTTTTTCTGTAATTTGAGGAACCCTTCAAATTAAGAGTTCAGTCCCATTATGAAGTTTCAATTCATTCTCAAAAATGAAATCTATTTATTAAACCCCTTATATTAATATTGTGTTGCAGGGCCTGGTTGTTGTTAAGCTTAGCTGTTGCAGTTGTATCAGCAACTGTAGAAGATGAAGCTGTTGTAGAGGCAGCTCCTGAAGAAATTGAGTTAGATCCAAAATCAGGGTTAGATCCTAACCTTTTCCCCTTCTATCCCTACCCCTACCCGGAGTATAGAAACCTAGCTCCTCAACCATTTCCAGAACAAGAGGCTTTCAACCCATACCTAGAACAGGAGCTCAGGAACTTTGGAGGTGGACTTGGGGTTCAACTGGGACCTCTTGGAGCTGGACTGGCGGCTGGAGTTGGACCTAATGGAATTAGTGGTAACTTGGGACTTGGGTTCAAACAGTATCAGTATTATGGTACTCCAGGATACTACAAACAATTCTACAGTCCCAGGTTTCATCCTTAGTAATTTTTTATTTAGTATCTTGGGTTTTAATGAGATTGGAATAAATCCCAATAAATCTTTTAATATTGGATTTTTCGATATTGGATAGTCATTGGACAAATTTGTAAAAATTAATATGTAGATGCAAATGCATCGCTGTTCTGTTCTTCATTGTTCCTTTTCCAGTTTCTTTCAGTTTTTTAATGATTCAATCTTTGATAAATGTTCTGTTATTTTAAAAAATCTCGATATAGTCTGGGGCACCCTGTATAAACTTTTAAATGTTAATTTTTTAGTCTTACTCAAGCATACTCCCCTTATACCTACTCCCAGCAGTCCTACTCACCAGCAGTACAGGCCTATTCACCTGAGTACTACCCTGTTGATTCTAGAACAGCTGGATTTGGAGGCGGGTTCGGAGCAGCACTAGGACCTCTCGGAGTAGGGCTTGCAGGAGGCTTAGGACAAAGAGGAGTCAATTTCGGAGGAGGAGTGGGTTTCAACCCTCAGTACCAGTACTATGGTACCCCATCCGTTTACAAACAGTACTACAGTGCAAGGTAAGCAATATTTATCAAGTAGTTTTCAAATCAACCATTCTATCAATCTGGATTCAAAGATTCTGTTTAGAGCAATTTAAATTTTGAAAGTAAAAAATTTCATAAAAATAGCCATTCTGACCCCGACATTTAAACTTTTGTTTTTTTTCCGTTTTCAGGAACACTATAAGGTAAAATCATTAAAACAGTTATTTATCTCAGCTGTGCTTTCGATCACAATTTGACCAATAACACATCAATCTTTCGTCTTTTCTTTTATACTTTTTTGTCGGTGAATGCGTTTTAAATGAAAATTGTAAAAAGGCAACTCTGCATATTTTAAGATTGTTGTAGTAAAGTAAAAACCAAAACGCAATCGAATTCAAATCAAAGAAACCTAATGCATCTAGTCCTGGTTATAGTGCAGGGTGTCTATAAACCCCCAAAAATGGGGTATCATATGAGTGTTTTGAAATATGTAAAAGAACCGCTTTAACAAACCCAAATGGAGCATGGTTGAATCAACATTTAACAACTCGAAAATTTAATTAATATTTAATATTTAGGCCGCTCCAGTATATCTCTAGCCCTGCACTCTACAACTACGCCAGTTCTAGAGGAATATATGGTTCATTAAATGCAAACGCTGGACCTTTTTCATTGGGAGCAGGAGGAAATGCTGCCCTATCAGGAACTTATGCCGGAGCACATTTAGGACTTGGACAGACTGCACTAGCCGCTGGTGCTGGAGGTGGCTTTAAACAAGGAGGTTTTAATGCCGGTGGAGGAGCCGGATTCGTAAATCAACCTCAATACACTCTCTTCAACATTCCTTACTATACAAACCAGTTTACCCGTCCTTATACACCTAGTTATAAATATTAATCAAAATTATTGATTTACAAAAAAGTTTTGATTTTTGACCACCTGGGTAAAAAAATGGCCATCAGGTGGCTTTCAAAATGGTCACCAGGGGGTTTTAAAAATGGCCATGCCAAGGGGTTTCCAAACTTGCCGTAAGATGGGTTCAATCTGTTAAAAAAATGGGTTTACAACTGGCTGCAGTTTTCAAATGCTATTTTATTTTAAAATCCATGTTCTTCCAATGCTATACTTAAAGATCTCAAATAATTGAGTTTTCAAGGCATTTTCTCATATAATTTATATGGTTCAATTTTCACATGAAAATAAACTATTGAAATTTTTTTTAAAGAATTAAAGAATCTGAGAGAGAAAAGTTAAAGATTGTTTTAAATAATCTGGATAGATAGAGATACTAGAACTGTTCTGTTTCATTATGTTTTACATTAAAAGTAAACTATTGTGAATCATAAATGGCACTTTTTAATTGAGGGTTCAATAAAAAATTACAGGTACAATCTTTTTAAGCGTACAACTACAGTAAAGCCAATAAAATTGGAATAGGAAGACGACATTTAATTAATCTTATGCGTGGTTTTGATATTGTTAAAAAGGCAAATAGTCTTACTACAGTGATAACCAGAAAACTCTGGAATAGGAAGTCGACTTTCAAACTCAAGTTATGACTTTTATTAGCGCATTGAACATGAAATGAGACACAACAATTGTGCATTGTAAACAGACTCATTGCACTTAATAAGTAATTTAATAGCTTTCAAGTAAACCTATTTGCTTTAAACAACATGAAATGCACTTCAGAATTGCTATAATGTCGTCTTCCTATTCTCAGTTTTCTGGTTATGACTGTAGTAGCTTGAAAATCAACAAATACAGTGAAATATGTCTGAAATCAATGCAATATTGCTGTGTTTTATGTTCGTTGGACTATAAGTCAACACTTGAGTGTATACTAACAGTCGTCCTCGCCAGGCGCAACTAGGACTTTTGCTAAGGGGGGGGGCAAATTATTTTGTAAGGGTCGGGGGGGGGGGGGAAAGGGGGGTTTCCCCTTTTTTTCGAAAATTTTTCAAAAACATAAGTGCTTTTTTAAGGGTTTGAAGTCGAAAAGCAGGAAATTTTAAGTTGTTGCATGCAGATTTGGCTGTGTTCAATTCAAATCGATTTTTTGTTCTTGTGTTTTTTACTTTCAAACAAAGTTTCAAAAGTTTCCTCCTATTCCACAGTTAACCCCAGTCTAAAACTTGCACGATCCTTACCGTTACAACACGTACTGTATATGCAGTCCGTCTTAGTCGTACTGCCCCGTCAGGCTACCCAGTGTATAGAGACGACCCAGCACGTTTTATTCAGAATGTAGCCTGGCAAGATCACAGTGCTAGCTAGTTCTATGGGTACCACAGCATCTAACTAGTTGCTCATAGAGAATAGGAGTCCTCTGAATTGCCTTCCGAATAGGACAGTCGGCATTCCAGGAATTCTTTTTCTATGTTCTGAACAGGTAAAGAGAGCTTTAACAATCCGGTCAGTCTATACAGACAGCGCGGTGAATCAGCTGATAGGGATTATCCGTCAATAAAGGAACAATTCACAATTTTTAAACATAATCTTTTTACAAGATCTAATTTTGGTTTTTAAAGCTAATTAAAGAAGTACTTATTGAAAAGCGTTTCAAAAAATGATGTTTTTTAAATTTGTTTTACTTTAGTGAACAACGAAACTTACTTCAATTATGTCACAAAAAATCTTTTGATTTGATCTCGAAACGTAGAACAAAACATAACAAAATGTAATACAATATTGCGTGAATATACACATGGTAACCCCAAAACATATGATCCTTTTATTAGATCTTCTAAAATCATGGGAAAACTCTGGAGACCAGTACTTTTTATTAAAGTAATATTATATTTACCCGCGCTTGGTCGTAAAATACGATTTTAGCTACTTTTCCCTAAAAACCTCGACCCACTCAACTTTGAATCTCAAAACCAAACTAAGAACATTTCCGTAGGTCTACCGAGTTTCCCAATCAAAATTTGAAGCAAATCGGTCCAGGGGTTCATGAGTTATGACGGGATATACAAACAAACAGAGCTTACTACTTTATATATATAAAGATCTGAATGTGTGAGCAGTCCGTTTAATAGAAAATAAAGGCATAATATGGCCTGAGCCAGGCAGTGACCTAAAGTAGAAAGGAAAATATTCAGGCAGTCAGGCCGTTAGACAGTGTTCTTTTCTTACAGCACCAACATTGTTTTTAACAACAAATGTCAGTGAACAAAACAAATTTCGACCGAAAACACATTTTTGTTAATTATAGATTGCTTTTTCTTTTTCAGTGAGTACATTTGTTTACTTGTTTATTATTTTAATAGCTTGTTTGTTTATTTACTGTTCATTTACTGATATCTATCTACTTGTTTGTTCACTAATTTTTCATTTTATTGTTTGGTTTTAAGATCGTTTGGTTGTTCACTTGCTCACTTATAGTTTAATTTTAATTGTTAATTTTTATTTATCTAATTATCCATTACCTTGTTTGGATTGTTAGGTGCCTGGATGTTTGGTTGTTAAAAATAATCTTTATAAAACTTTAGAAATTAAAATGTTTCAAGGGCGTGGCTGCCCAGTTTGGGGGACACAGGTTAAACTTTTCTATTTCTATTTCATTCACAGTTACCCTGTATTTATAAACTGTCATTATTTTGAGTAACAATGAGGAAGATATTACCGTTGTTCTATCTTAAAAATGTGCTAATTTAGGGTTTCCACGAAATGGCTAAATCTTTTGCGCAAAATTTGCGCTATTTTCACGCAAATTTTATTTTTGCGAACTTTTGCGCTATTTTTGCGCATGAAACGCAATGAGTTTTGCGCGGTTTTGCGCTATTTATTTTGCGCAATTTGCGCAAAACCGGAAATATTAGTTTTTTCGCGCAAAATTGATGCGCAAAGAAAGAAAAATATTGCGTTTCGTTCCGCAAAAATTGCGCAAAAGTTTTGCGAATGGAAACCCTAGCTAATTTCGACAATTTCCTTCTTTGGGTCTTCTACAAAATCCAAAACTAAAATTATCCATTCAATAAAAAAATTGTTATTCATTTATAATGAACAAATGTTAGAAGATACCTCTTTGAATCTGACATGGTGCTCTATAAGTGAAGGTTCTCTTAAAATGATGTAAACAGTCCCTTTAATTTGAATTGTTGCAGGATACCAACATATCACCGTATTTAGAAAAGCTACCAAAAGAGAAGATTTTAGGAAAAACATCTTATTAAAAAAACAACTATGTAGTTTAATAGTTTACTTTTAATTGTTCCATGACGAATTTCTGCTAGAGCTACAGGGTGTCGCACGAAACATGACAATAGGAAGACGACTTGAAAGTCTTTGGTATTTGAATTTATTTGTGACATTTAGTCTTCTATCTACTTTAACATGTATAATTCTTGAAACAATTATCACATAATTCTCCTCGCCCTGGCATTTCCAAAAAGTGGTCTGCGTTTTTTGTGCTTTCAATATTACCGGAGATATAAAGAGTTTGGTTCAGATTTCAATTTTGTTAAATAAAAGCAAAATTGTCGAAATCTGAACGAAATTCTTCATATCTCGGGCAATATTGAAAGCACAAAAAAGGCAGACCACATTTTGGAAATGGCAGGACAAGGGAAATTTTGTGATTATTATCTCTAGAAATTTACTTCTAAGATTAGGTTGACAAATAAACGCAGCAAATTATATCAAAAATCAAGACGACATTCAAGTCGTCCTGCATACTGTCATGTTTCGTGGGACACCCTGTAGGTGCGCTCGGCTTTTTTTATTTTGTTCGTTCATCGTTCATGAACGACCAATTTCCTTTTTTTCAATTCAAAAAAAAAAGATATTTTGTTTATTCTCAAAATTTTTGTTCATTTCCATCTTATTTCGTTGTTTTCTCATTCAACGATCGTTCAGTGAAAGCGTTCGCTTAGTAAAACCGTTTTTCAGTCAAAAAAGTGATAGTTTAATCGAAAATAATCGTTCGTTTTTTCAAGATCGTTCAAAAGCTTTTAAATTGCTCTTCTTTTCGTACTTTTTAAAAAACTAAAGATTTTTTTTGAAGAATCCAAAATGTTAGTCTAGCGTTCGTTTTTTCCTGAACGGCATCGTGGTTCACGAAATTTTTTTTATAATATTCAACTTTCAAAGAGAAGTTGATTGATATCTAGTGATTTCTTGAGAAGACAACGCTTTTAAGGGTACCATCGTAAATCGGACATGCTAATCTATCTATGGGGATCACTTAAAACTACTTTTATGGATGAGAGTTTGTATCCTTGCAGTGTTTGACCTGAGTACAGCTGGCGTTCAAGTTACTGGTGATGTGAACGTTGTTAAAACCAGTTTACAACTTGACAAATTCAGGAGCAGAGACAATGAATCATTTTCTTAAAGAGCAATTTTTATACAGTGACCCCAGAGCCCGAAATTTAAAAGAGTATCGTTGAACGAAACTCTCGAGTTTCCTTTTTGGGGTCTTAACATTTGTGTAGATTTTGATTTAAGAGATTCAACAAAAATGGAGAATATGAAGAAATTAAATGAAATAATATTTCATAACAAAAATATTGATATCCACAAAACTGCCTAACCCCATTAATGAAACCCGGGTTTCAAAACTGGTTTTCATAACAATACCCTTTCTTAAGTTTTGGGCTCTGGGGGAGGAAACGTTATGTGTGTGCAAGGATTTATGTGTGTGTTTATACCAAAAGAGTGTCGAAGGCGTGTACTGTAGGTATATACAGTACATAAGAATCTCGGTATTTGTACAGTCTAGGAGAGTACATTTGTTTATTGTTAATTGTTTACTTAAAAACAAGTTTAATATACATGTAATATATTGTTTATATATTTAAGTCAACACTATAAGCCAAATTTTCATGCAAAGAATATAATTTGATTAAAGTTTACAATAAACTACTCGTTATTCAAGCTTAATTATAATTGACGACATTGTTCTGCAATTTCCTTGACTGTAACCATGTTGTGTGTATGTACCAATAGTGTGCGTGTGTTATACCGAACTCGTCTGCAAAGCAGTGCGACTGGCTTTCTCATGCCAGACCAGCACCATTTCTTTTCTCTTTATTTCTATTCTCTGAGTGAGACCCACATGACTGTTGAAGAGGAAGACGACAGTTTAGAAATATTTGGGGAATAAGTTGTTGTGAATATTTTAATGATAGATCGAAGTACAGCATTCATCTCGATATCCACAATACAAGCGTTCACAGCTCAGATCCCATAGAACCCCTGAAATTGTAAACACCCCTCTAGCCCCTGCCCCCCAAAAAGAGAGAAAATTTTTCCATTTTTTAAAATTTATGCTATAATGGAGGTTGTGCTGTGTTTAGCTGTGGAGTAGAATCAGTAGTGTCTGCTGTATTTAATGAGAATGATAAAGCTCAATGTGTGTTTGTAGCAGATACTGCTGAAGAGGCAACTGCAGGTCAAATCTCGAATTCAGTGGTAGGTGACTAATTCAATACAATGAAGACGACTTTCGATTTCAATCTTGATTTCTATCAAGTTGTTAAACAGCATGGATACACATAAACATAGAAGTCAAGAGAAGCTGTCGATTAAAAAAGCTTTTCTGATTACTTGTAAACTTGTAATTTGAAAAAATCTTACCAATCAAAACTTCTTATTGTATTGATATAATCGCCTATCACTGCACTGTAAATAATCCGGAATAATATTAATTAATATCTTTCTTTGACCTTTGAAAAAGTTTCTGGTATTCAGTATTGATAACCTTATTTAAGCAATTATCACAAAATAGCCTTAATTCTGCCATTTCCAAAATGCATGGTCTGCCATTTTTTTGCTTTTTCAAATAGCAGAGATATACATCACAACAATGATGTTATAATAATTTTATGGTTATGCTTTTTGAAAATAAAATGAAATTGCAAAATCCGTTTTCAGATGTTTATCTTTTACAAACAAGAAGGATAACCTTATTTTTATTGAAAATTATAATATGAAAAATATATTATGATTCCAACTTTTACTCTACATTTGTATTATTTTTGCTGCTTATTTTTATGTCAATATTTCTTTACTCAAAAATGCTTTATTATTATGTCTTTACAAAAATAACATTAAAAAAGTTCGTTAATAAAATTGTATCTTAGCAGTCCTTTGATGAAACACTTTAAATGAAATTCCTTTATTAAAAATCCTTTAATACAATTTGTACCTTTACTAAAGCTTTTTAACAAAAATCTTTTCATGAACTCCCTCCTTAAAATAACTTTAAAAAATACCAATAGCAAAATTCCTTTAGAAAAAATCCTTTAAAACCCTACAATATATCGTAAGATAATAAATTAAACAATTAAATATTTTTTTAAATAACCATAAAAAATAATTGTTTATGTTGCAGGAATGGTGGTTGCCTCGTGTGTTAGATCTGCCCAAACTATCAACAAAATGAAATCTATGATTGAAGATGGAATTACAGAAAAAGAATGGACTGAAGCACTCATTAGGTAAATATAATAAGAAATGAGGTTAAGGGACATATTTGCAATTACAGTGATAACCAGAAAACAATGGAATAGACCCAGAAAACAGAAGTGGATGTTACAACTAGATGTCAACTAGTTGTTCTAAACTCCACTTCAAAACTCCACTTAAACTCGACTTTAACTCCACTTTTGAATTCCAGTCACCAACTGGGTGAAATCTGGGTGCATAAACTCGACTTAAACTCGACTTTTTGAATCCCAGTTTTCACCGAGTTAGGGTGAAAACTGGGAGTTCAAATATCCACTTTAAAACTCCACTT